GTGTTGACGTAAGACACGTCCAAACCTAGAGCGTTTCTGTGAGTTCGAGCCAAACTGACGACACGTGCCAGGAGGAAGATCTCAGATGCGCCCAGAACGGCCGCTTTGCGGCTCTTTCCTATGTTTGGAATGAAGGAGGGAACGGAAGGAAGACGGCAGGAAGGTTGGAGAGAGCCAGGTGAGGGTAACGAACAAGATCACCTGTGCTCTCGAGGGTGGTTCCGCCTGTTTCCAAGGCGAGTTCCTCTCTGGGCACTGAAACCGTGGCCCCGGCTGCTAAGGCAAAGAAGGCGAGGCTGTCGTCAAGGAAGTCACGTGCAGGGCGGTGACTCCGCCAGGACGTGCCCAGGTGGGGATTTACGGTCAGGTCCCCTGTGAGCTTGCTTCCTTTCCGTCCTCGGACTTCTCAGATTTATCAGGAGCCCCGCTTTCGTCCACATGGGTGTCCCATATCTTTTCCTCTGAGTCGTTAACCTATTGAGACGAAAATAACTATTTCGCAAGCCCTGGGGTAACTGCAATGAAACCCTGAGCCCTTGTGCCCGCCCCGGGCTGCCGCCTCCCTCAGGCTGCTCAGGTCAGTCTTCTCCTCCTCGCTGGGTGTGGCTTCTCCGCTGTCACTGCAAAACGAGTCTAGAATACGGATGGGCGCTATCGACAGGGTCCTGGAGTGACCAGCAGCTACAGGGCCACTTCCCTCGGCCACCATTCTGGTCGGCCTCACCTCTCCCCTCAGATTCTCCAGCCTCCACCTGAGCGCTGGCCCCACCGAAGGCTCCAGCCTAAGGACTGTCACCCTGTGCTCTCTGGCGCCCTCAAGTCCCTTAGTGGAGAAACGCCCAGAAGGTGACAGTGATCCGAGCACGTGTGCAGGTGCTAGGCCAGGCCTGAGGGCCGTCCAGAGCACTGTGGCGAGGCACGCACGTCTCCTCTTTCGGGGGACCGAAAGGAACAGTATGTGGCGGGCGCGGACCGGTGGCGGCCCTGGAAGGGGCTTGGGGCGAGCGAGGCCTTGCAGAGCGCTGGGCAGGTGCCGCGGAGTCTGAGGGCCAGGGCTTGGTGGGCCGTGGACCCGTGCCTCAGCGACAGCCGTGGGAAGCGGGGGCCACGTACACGCGTGCAGGACGGGCCGCCTGTCAGGCAGGGTGTGTGGGGCCCTAAGTCCGAGGAGGAGGACTGGAGTGGGGCCGGACCCCGGCCAGACCGGACGACAGCTTCGAAGTTTGCCCGAGGAGAGGCTGACGGCGTCTGGGTACCGCAGCCGGCCTCCGATGCCGATGCCGTTCAGTGTGGCGGAGGCCTCGGAGGACGTTCCCGGAACGAATGAGGCGGGGGGCTGCCGGGAGCATCTCCCCCGGCAGATGCTAGCCTTTCCAGAGAAGTGGGCGTCGTTTCGTCCTTGGAAGAGTCTTCAAGTGCTTCCTCTGCGGCCATCACTCACATCCCCTCCTGGCGGCTGCGGGAGGGTAGATCTGAGGGGACATCATGGCAGAAGGGGGCTCGCCAGCAGTGAAGCTGTGTCCCTCTCCTGTGCGTGTGTGCGTGCGTGTGTGTGTGCGTGCGTGCGTGCGCGTGCGCGCCTCAGTGCTGCCCTTGGAGGTGGCCCATTCCACTGGCCTCAGGCGGGTGGGGTGAGGTCCTGTCCTGCCCCTTATTGGTCTGCACCTGTCCCCCCGCCGCCCACATACGGTGGCTGCTGCATTTGCCAGCAAACATGTATTGAGCAGTTGCTGCAGGCCGAATAGAATTCCAGGCAACCCCATGCCAGGGGAGAAGGTGTGGGAAGAGAGGGGATGGGGCACACCCAACAAGCACGAAGAGGCATGGCGAACCCTGGGATTAGCCGCGGCGGCAGCCCAGGCCCGGGCGCTGGGCCGGCGGTAGGTAGCAGTCAGGGAAGGCTTTGCGCAGTAAGTCCCGAGTTTCTGCAGAACTCGGGGCCAGTGTGGGGACTTAATGGAAGCTGGCGGCGCGACAGGTGAATTTGGAATAGTTAGTAAAACAGGAAGCTTAAATGGATCCGTCTCGTTTTTGCCCCCAGTGAAGAAGCAGAGATGGCGCTGTGGCTTCGCTTTCCCCAGCCCTCCCAGAGGGCGAGACGTCTGAGGGCCCAGGGTTGGGCCGATGCAGGTGACAGCAGGAGTGCTCCATGGCCACCGCGCCTCTGGGCTCCCTGGGACTGGCTGCACCATGTGTGCAGTCATAAAGGGTGCCCCGAGGGCAGAAAGACAGCACAGGTTTTAAAGGGACGGGTCAGAGCTGGGGCTTGCCCCGCACCGTCCTTGTCCTCGCCCTGCACGTGGCTCCAGAGTGGGGTTTGGTCACCTAATGGGCAGAGGCAGGTCCTGGGCGCCACCTGGGCCCAGCAGCCAGCTCCATGCAAGGCTTCTGATGACCTGCTTCCCGGAAGGGGGGCAAGGGGCCGGAGCCTTTCGCTGGCTGGCTCCCTGCTCGCGATGGAACTGGGCACCCCAGGTGACACTGACAGCTGAAGCTGGGGAGAGTCCTTTCCACTGAGAGGCCCTGGTCACTCGTGACTTCAGCTTCTTATCCACAGAAATAACATATCCAAAAACACCGTTTCAGAACCTTTCAAACGTCATGGCTTATCATGGGTAGATTAAGCTCTTGTGCTAAAAGTAAGTATGAAACTTCGATTTCTGATAAGTTTTATCTGCACTACGTTTGTACAAACTCATGTAGCCCTAGCCATGGATGGAGAAGCCAAGCGTTCAGTTCCTCTTGGTTCTCCCGCTGGCCCGGTCTCAGCGAATCGCACCCCGGTTCCTCAGCCTCCCACGTCACACATCTGGGTGTCAGTCGCCCAGACTTACCTTCCCATACCCCGCACCCAGTTGCTACTGTGCGGTTCTCTACTCCGTGCCTCACCCCTCTGGACCCGCAGCGTCTCCCATCGCCCTGCAGAGTCAGGTCAGGGTTCGTCAGGAGCTGTAGCCCTCCGGGCCCCTCCCCTTCCTGGGTGCCTTTGTTTTCCTCACCTTTCGTCCTTTGCACCCAGTTCCCTTCCTCAGAGGCGGCGACTCTTTAGCAAAAACGTACAGCGTTAGTGAACCAAGTTCTGGGTGCCGAAGTTTTAGCCTGGTGTTAGTGCACGAGTCTTCTACCGATGGCTGAATCTTGGGAGTTAAACACGTGGGGCCTGGAGACAGCGCCAAGTTCATTTCTTAAAACTGTAAGTAGAAATTGCCCTGGGCTACGAAATCATTTCTGAAATGGATTCCATTATCATCACAACAGAAAAGGAAGAATGCAGTGGAACTATTGTTTCCTTTTTTGAAAGATTTTTTAAAACTATTTTGATGTAATTTCAAATTTATTGAGAACTTGCAAGAAAAATTGAAGGCACTCCCATATGCCCTTTACCCAGATTCACCAGCCCTTTACATTATTCTGTGAGTGTGGTAGGTACACGTGCTGTATAAGTAGTAGGTTGTTGTGTTTTTTTCTTTGAAGCATCGGAAGAATCAGTTGCAGATGTCAGGCCCTCTCCCCCCGGATGTCTCAGATACTGTTTCCTTCCATAACCGTAATGCAGTTACCAAGATGGGGAAATTTACCATTAATCCAGTGCTGTTTTCTGATCCACGCTGTATACGCAGATTTCGTCAGTTGTCCCAATAATCTTCCATATGGCTTTCCCCATGGTCCAGGATCCCCCGCTGCATTTAATCGACAGATCTCTTCAGTCTTTTAAGTTCTTCAGCCTCTCTTGGTCTTTCGTGACACTGACCTTTTTAGAGTCTGGATCCATTATTTCAGTTTGGGTGTTTCAGTCTGCGTTTCCTGTTCCCTCGGGGTTAGCTTCAGGTGACGCATTTTTGGGGAGCTGCCAACAATGTGCCATGTGCTGTCTCTCCTGACGCTGGGATGCCAGCTTTGAGCACTTGGCTAAGGAGGTTTCGCCACGGTAAATGTAACTATTTTTGCCTTTGTAATTAACAAGTAATTGTGGGGGATACTTTCAAACTCTGTAAACATCGCGTTCCTCATCCAGCTCTCACCGATGAGGGTTCGCGTCCCTGAGCATTTCCTGACCTTCAGTCTTTCCGTACTTCTTAGGTGGCATTCTGAAGTTTTCCTTCCTCTTCCAGTTATTGCTGTTCATTTCTTTGTATCCAGATGGGCTCTGCATCTCCTCTTTATTTAGTGGATTACAGTCCCTCGTTCTCATTCATTTCTCTAATAAAGTTGTTCCAGATTCAGCCAATGGGAGACCTTTCAAGCTGGCAGCTGTTCCCCCCCAGACACAGTGTTGCCAGAAGATCCTGCAAGCTCATCTTGTACTTTCCTCTGCACCCCGGAAACCGTTTGTTTTTAACGAATACATCAATGCAGTGCATTCCAAAGCGCAGTTTACTTTGTCTTGCCATTTGGGATTTATTCGTGTTATTTGGGGTATTTGTTTACATGTCGTTGGGAGAGAAGACCCCACGACTGTCTCACGGGTGGCTTTTTAAAAATGATACCGGGAGACTCTTTATAAACAGATAATATAAATTTACCTTACAGATCGTTTAAACTGAGGCAGAGGTTACGTACTAAAGCAGCTGTTATTCCTTAAGCACTGATCGTGCAATTTTAATTCACATACAGACCCTTGTTAAACCTAGGGAAACCGAGGCTCAGAGAGGTTGATACACTGGTCAGAGTCACACAGCTAGTGAGAGGTTTCAGTTCTGCTGGGTCTGACTTCAAAGTTCACTTTTCCTGATAAGGTTGTTACGATGCCCTTACTCTAAATGGTACAATCCGTACATGTGACAGTTGAATAACAAAAAGCTTATTTGTGGTTCGAGGTCGTTCGCCTGCCGCATAATTCTGTGTGTGTATGAAATTCCGTCTGGAGGGTTTAAGTGTGTGGCTCATCACCTTGTTCTCTCGCAGGGAGTCTGCTCGTTTTCACTAGAGAGCGGCTCGGCTGTCCTAGTGTTTCTGTCAACACCTAGAAGTTCCCTAACCCTTTTATTTTCTTCCTATAGGAATTTGCTTGCTAGAAAACAAAATGCAAGACTTGACAAACAAAATGACTTGGGATGGAAGTTATTTGGAAAATTACCACTCCGAGAGAATGCTCAGAAAGATTCAAAGAAAATTCAAAAGGTATACAAGATAAAAAATGCAGAAATATGCTCTATAGCATATATTTATGAACCTTGCAAAAATGACTATTACTGAGGCTTTGAAACTGGAAAATTTTGTGTTAATTTGCATGCCAAGTTCCTAAAATTTAAGTCTGTCTTCAGAATGTCAATGACTTTAACCTTTTTCATTTCTTAGAGTTTATAACATGCACATAGGAGTGTTCGGTTGAGAGACTGGGCTTTGTTTAGATATTTATAATTTGATTGAGTCATTTTTTTCCAGTAATAGTTATAAGTATATGTATTGCCACTGTTTATTATTTGTGTTTGATAGTAAAGCATGCTCCCTCTCTGGTCCCATGGGTCTCCTGGAACTTCATCTTTCCGGTGCTGCTTTGGCCAGGAGTTCCAGGGCCATCCTTCACCCCGGCTGTAGCGGCCCCCTGCCCCGGCTGGCTCTGAAGCTGCCCACCCGTCTGTGGGGGAGGGGACGGGTTCAGGGGCAGGCCAGGCCTGTGGTATCTCATCACCCCTGGCTCCCGGTGCAGGTTGGATGCCAGCAGCTGGAGGCATGAGCTCGCCACGTCCAGGAGGGACTCCCGCACGGACACAGCCAGGCAGCCCCGCCTGTCAGCACCTGCGTCCTCTCCTGGGCCGAGTCCCAGCAGCCTGCTGTTTGCCCAGTACTGTGACACTGCCCCCCAGCAGCCGTGCCCCTCCACCTGTGTCATGCTCACCGATAATTGTCTAGCGAGCGCTTCAGGATCCACTCGGCGCCGTCCTCACGCTCGGCGCTGGGGTTAGAGCAATGGCACCCACGCTCGAGAGCACCCCTCTGTGAGGACGCGATTGCCGTGCTCAGGGAGGGTGCGGGGCCCGCCGGGCGAGGCCGCACAGAGGACTGCCTGGGAAGGAAGGCGTGAGGGCGGGTTTGTCGTGACGGCTGCAGCGAGGGCCGAGTGGTGACTGGGGACCGGTTGTCAGGGAGTCAGCACTTGGGTTTCTGGTTCATTTAAAACTTGTAACAACCTTATGAAGAAGATACTGTTATTGTCCTCAGTTTCCCAACGAAGCATTGAGGTGGGCTGAGTGATTGGTACAGCTGGTGAGTGGCAGAGCTGGAGTGCAGCCCCGGGCAGTCACCCCCGCATGGTGCCCTGCCTCTCTGCAGGAAGGCGCCACCCACACAGCCTGTGCGACGTGATGGGACGAGGTGGGAGGGGACGGGACAAGAGGGGACAGGATGGGACGAGACAAGACAGGACGGGATGGGCTGGGACGGGCTGGGACAGGATGGGACTTGATGGGCTGGGCCAGGCCGGGACAGGATGGGACTGGACGGGCCGGGCCGGGCCGGGACAGGATGGGACGGGGCTGGACAGGCCAGGACAGAATGCGACAGGATGGGACGGGACTGGAGGGGACAGGATGGGACGGGACGAGACAGGCCGGGACTGGACGGGACGGGGACGGGACTGACCCTATCTCAAACCTGAGGGCTCTGGGGAGCCCCTGGAGGGTTTACTTCAGGGAGCGTTGGGCCACCCCAGCAGGAGTGCGTCTGGACTAGCCCAGGTGAGGGATGGTGCTCAGTGCGGGGCGGCCATGGGTGCAGAGGGTGGCTCCTCTGAGGGCTAAACACGTTCGATACGGGGGTGCAGTGTGTGGGGCGAGGCAGTGAGCACACGCTGGGGTCTGGCCTGGACAGCGAGGGGGATTGGCACCTACGTCATTTTTTATGCCTTGGCAGATTAAATTTGTTTTGAATGTTGTGTCGTGCTCCCTGTAGCAGTTGTTAGGACCCAGGAGACTCACAAAGTAAGTCAGTGTTAGAATTTGTTTTCATAGATCGCTACATTTTAAACTTGAGTCACTTATTGTATAGGCTTATTAAAATAGCATAAAATTAAAATATGATGAGTTTGTTTGCAAAATTTAGCTGTAAATTTCTTAGAAAATTAAGTTGCCAAGCAGTTAAAATTTTAAAAAATTTTTTTAAAATTCACACCTTCACAAAAGTTAGTATCGTACTAAATAGATTTTCCTGGCTCTTAATATCACGTGTATCATGTTTGAATTTTTCTTTGCTATCTTTTTTGTACCATTTTTTTTTTAAGGTCTACATGGATTATGTTCTAGAACTTGAAGGATTTTTGTGAACTGAAATGACTAGGTCAGCTAATTACGTGGTAACACGACACCGCAGAGGAGAGGAACATCTGGCTTCAGCCATCAATAATAAAAGATGTCATTGTACCTGCTCGAGTCACCCGACCCTGCCGGCTCCTGCTGCCTGTGCTTAGTGTCTCTGACCCTCTGCTTCTCGTTCCACCCTCCCTCCCCCAAGCTGGCAAGGCCCGCGAGGGATCCAGGGCCAGGGCCCTGCTCCTGGGCCCCAGGCTGGAGCTGGCTGCTGTCACAGACGTCAGGTCATGCACTTTAGAGAGCACAGGGCTGGGGCCTGAGTGCCTAGATTTGTGACCCCAATGGCGATGACAGCTCTGGTTAGGGCTAAAGCGTATATAAGATGTGTAGGCATCTGTCATTCTTTCCCTTTCCCTTTGGAATAGTAAGTTAAGTCTTTAAACCATAGCGATTTAAGAACATGGACTGTGGAGTCGTCACACTGCCAGGGTTTGTATCCCAGCTCTGCCACAACCTGGCTGTGTGACTTTGGGCGAATTACTTAACCTTTCTGAGCCTCATTTTTCTCCTCTCTGGAATTTGGAGACTGGCAGCGCCTACCTCTGAGGCGAGGACTGAGCGAGCGCATACTCGCCCTGTGCTCAGAACAGTGCTGAATGTCCGAAGTGCAGGAAGGTGTTTGTTGTCGTTTCTTTCCTGTGGCGGGTCCACCTCAATGACAGGAAACGAGACCGTGGGAGGCCACGGGCCCGAGCCTGCCACAGGCTGCGTCGTTTGCTTGTTCAGCAGATACCGTGCCACGCTGGGGCCGGTCTCGTGCTGGGCACCGGGAGCACAAGGGTGGTCGGGTCGACATGCCTCAGGGAGCCTGCGGTTGGGCTGAGGGGACCGGTGTGCACACGTGCCAGGACCTTCGGACTTGCAGGCTCGGCTGCGATTGCCGGCTTCGCCTCTCATCTGTGACTTCAGTCTCCTCATCTGCAGTGGGCATTGTGATTCTCACGCCCTGGATTCTTAGAAATTAAGAGATGATGCACGGGAGAGATTTCTGCCCAGTGTATAGCGCCGCACGTGGCCTGGAGTTGGTCCTCAAGCAGTGGCCGTGGTGACTTCAGTTAATAAACAGACCTGGTGAGTGGCCCAGGTGCCGTCTGTGGTTTTCTCAGGGCCCCCCGGGTTCCCTCTGACTTCGTTCTAACTGGGTTGGTTTCCCTTGGCTCGAGCCTTGTATTAGACACGGCTGCCATTTTTAGCAAATGTCGAAACGTTATTTGCAGTGATCTTTTCAAATTTCATAACGTTTTGAAATGTAAGTAATTTTCTATCGGTTTACATTATGATTTCAGAGAGATTTTCTTAATAGGGGAAATAGAAACGGCCACGGATGGCCGTGAGAATCACACTGACGGTGGCTCTCGCGTGTGGTTCCCGGGCGGATGTCGTTATCACCTGGGCGTCTGTTGGAAACACCTGGCAGCAGGCCTCGCCCGACACGCTGGACAAACGCCGGGGCTGGGGCACAGCAGGCTGTGTCCTGACACGTGCTCCTGCTAAGCCGAGCGCACGGAAATGTCAGAACCACTGCGTGTGAGACAGGATGCTGGGTATGGAGGGAAACGCGCCGTCCTTGCCGCGGGGGTCAGTGCGGGCCGGGCGCGGCACGTCCGCATCCGGCAGCTGCTGGCGGACCGGAGACGCTCCTGAGAGCAGGCGGGAGACTGTCGTTGGAGAGGGCCGTCCTCAGGCCTGCCGTTGCTGGGTGGCCCATCGTGGGGCCGTGGCCGCCCCGGCACGGGCAGCGAGGCCTCAGAAGTGTAGTCCTTTGCCCCGTGAATGGAGAGGAACCTTCTTCCTTGGGTTCCGTGGGCCCCTTGTTCGTTCCACAAGTCCGAGTCACCGTGTGGACCCACCCTGAGATTCTAATGAAGGGCAAGACTTACGTGGGCCCTGCCTTTGCTGGAATTTACCGTGGATCGGGGAGAGACAGATTTAAACACGTGACCCTACAGGTAACTGCAGCTGTGACGAGCCGTGAGGAGCAGTGGCGTGCAGCCATCCTAGAGACGTTTCTGCACCACTGAGCCCATTTCCCTGAAATCAGATTTTTCCAGTGACTGCCAGTCGCCAGGTCTGACGGTCATTCCTCAATCCTTGTCTCAGTCAGCCTCTCCTCTGCTCAGTGACCTTGGCTTCCAGGTCACCACACCCGTTCAGCTTCCTTTGCCGGGTGTCCCCTAAATATCAGGGTGCTGCTTGGGCGCTTCTCTGTGGTCACCCTCTAGACCTCAGGTGGACTCGAGTTTTAAACATCATGCCTGCGCGGATGACCCCGACATGTATCTCCAGCCCAGGCCTCGTCTCTGCTCCAGCCTTCGGATGCAGCTGCCCACTGGACAGCGCCGCCCGCAGGTCCGACCAGCACTTCCTGTTCAACAAGTTCAGGGCTAAACTTTATTTTCTCTTTTTCCCGTCTCTTGGACCTGTTCCCTTTGCGTCTTTCCCCGTTTGGGTAAATGACCGACTTAGCCCTCTTTTTCTGGTCTAAAACTTTAGACTCGTTTTTTTCTCACATCCCCTTTCCAGTCTGACAAGTCTTTTGTTTATGTTTAAGCTCTGCATCTGAATCTGATGTGCAGTCTTGTTTGAGAAACAGTGACTTGCTGGGAAATCCTGTGAATCCGTGTAGATGAAATCATACCAAAGCGGTCTTACCGGTAGAGCCTGGCATGAAATGCTTATGGCTTAATGGTCCACCGAGTTACTGGGAAATAGAGAGTGTATTTTTAAAGATAAATGAGCAATACTTACTTCCTGGTTATATTCGTTTGTAGACGGTGTATAAGATAGTAGCAAATTAAGGAAAGAAAACAGAGT